CGGGGGAGTAGCTGCTCATCATGGCAGACAGGAAGTACAGAGCCCTAGGTGAGGCCAGAAAGGGAGTTATAACCTTCCTGGTCACACCCACACCACCGCCTCTTCTGACCAGGCCCCACCTCCTAACTCAAGTCGGCTATAAGCCTGCATGATCTAACCACCTTCCAAAAGTCTTGCCTGGGAGCACAGAGGCTCTTGGGGACATCTAGATGGACCCCATAATGATGGAGATGTCGTGAAGATAGTACAAAGAGGGCCTGCAGGCTTTAGCCTTAGCTCACCTGCTGCTAGTGTTTTATCACCATGGGATATTTGTACCAGCTAATGGACCAACATGGATATACTGCTACTAACTGAAGTCCAAATAAATGCTGAAAGCCCACACTTTATTGGGACTTCCGTGCTTTTTCCTGGTGTTCTTTTCCTGCCCCAGGATCCTGTCCAGGGCCTCACAGTACGTCCGTCATCCTCTCTCGCCAGGCTCCTGTGGAGTGAGAGAGTTTCTTAGACCTTCTCAGAAGCTTCTCAGAACTTTGCCCATGTTGACTGTGGAGGACCGCCTAGGTGACTCTCCTTGAAGGAGGAGCAATTGCCTCCGTTTTGGCTGAGCCTGACCCTGTTTCCATGTACTGATATGTACAGAGCTGGCTGGGACTTTTCCTTATCCCTTCAATTGGCTTTAAGCAGTGCATATCGATCCAGTTGAGGTGCTGATGGTGGTCTTTGAAGATGGCAGGAGTGATTCCCCGGACCCCCCGTTGTTCCCACAAGTGAGCTGGGATGGTGTGGGATGTGTGAGCCAGGGCTCCAGGCTGTCGGCTGGGGTTGAGCCTCTGGATAGAGGCCAAGACTTCCTGGGGCTTGAAAGATTACACACCAGAGCTGAAGCACTGACCCCAAAACATTAGACACTATCTCAGTTGTGTTATGCAGATTACTCTTTTTGCATATCCTTCTTTTTGCTTTTGCAGAGGTGATTTTGGGCCTCCTACCTAGCCCAGCTCACAGCACTCACTTACTTCCTGTGGTTCTCATAGTCACTCATCCTCAAGCCACTCCCTTCCTCATGAATGAATAAAATCTGGGTTTGGCCTTGGTCATTATGGCTGGACTCAGGGCCCCTTGGCTCCCCATAACTACAAATATGCCTTAGTGTCTTTATTCTCACCATGAGCTGCACTGGAAGTGGTAGATTGGAGTTAACGCACTAGGATTCCAATAACTTTTCATGGGATCACAAATATAAACTTCCTGGGCCGTGACGAGGACCAGGAAGGGCTCTCTGTACTGACGAGAACAGCAGGGCACTGCATTAGCCATCTTTTCTGTCACTGGGACAGAATGCCCGAGAAACCAACCTCTCCCAGGTTCAGAGGTTTCAGCCCCTTGGCACTGGGCTCTGCTGCTTCCAGCCTGTGAAAGGCACAGCCTCTCCGCAGGGCGCGTGTGACAGAGGAAACTTCACCTCATGGTGGCCAGGAAGTAGAGGGGGCTCACTTCTTAGAACAAATCCCCTCCTCCCAAATGCACTAACTTGAGTCCACAAGTGGGTCCATCCCTTGTGAACCAGTCACCTCCCGAAGGTGCACCTTCTGTGTTGGGGGTCGAGCCTTCCACTCTTGTGCTTCTAGGGGACATTTAAGATCCAAACAACGACAGGTATTCGAATCACGTCCTTCAGCTGGCATTTACTTGAAGTTCTTGAAATAGTTCATCCGGAGGAAATCCGTCTTTGTCATTATCTGCTCTCAAGGTGCCTGACGTCACTGACTTATCAGTGATGTGTCTGCCTCGACCACCTGGCTGGGTAGTGCCTGGCAGTTTCCCACTGTAAAGTTACTTCCCTTTCCCTTTCCACCTCCACTCTTCAGAAAGAGGCCTGTGTACACCCCGCTGTTGAGGGCCAGAGGAGTGAGGCTGTGCTGCCTTTGAGGGGCCAGGTAGCAGGAGGTATCAGGCCCCGGAGTAACCTGGGCTGCCTCTGGCGTCTGCCTGGGCCTCGCTGCAGCTGGCTCTGCACATCTGGAAACTGCGGATGGGGTCTGAGAGTCAGGACCACTTTGTCCGACCCAGCCCTGGGGCCTGAGTTCAGGGAGATCGCACATCTCTGGAGGGAAGTGCGGATTGGCAGTCCCCGAGGCTCCCTCCTGCCTTCATCCGCGAGGTAGCGAGCTGCCTGGCCAGCTGGGGGCTGTGCTCACTGCCCAGGCTGTTTGGGGTCTGTGGGACCAGCTGGCAGGGCCCCTGAGCCCTCGTCCTGTACTGAGCCCCATGTGTTGGCACGAGTGCACTCGGGCTCTGAACTTGCCTTGGCCTTGGAGCCCGCACCTGGGGTTCTGCGACTCTGCTGCCGGGGTCGGCTGTCCTCCTGGCCCTTCTCCCGTGAGATTCACTCTTCTGTGGAGCTCAGGGTGCCCGGCTTATGCCTCCCACAAACTCCACCTTTGGTGTGCAGGCCTGTAGGGATCAGCTCTTGGTCCTGTTCACCCCCCTTCCAGCATAAGGCTTGTTGTTCTGCAATTTGTTTTTCTCAGTACTGGGGATTGAATGCAAGGCCTTCACGCCAAACTACACCCCTGGTGTTTTTATTTTTTTTAAAATTTAAATCTCTGAGTCAGGGTCTTGCTAAGTTGCCCAGGCTGGGCTCGGACTTGTGATCCTTCTGCTTCAGCCTCCCAGCGTGCTGGGGTGCCAGGTGTGCTCCACCATGTCCAGCGGTAAATGTCTTTGAGATAAACGAGTGCAAAATGCATCCTCTCAGATGGTGCATGGACGCTATGTATCTTTTCCAGGAAAACACTCTGGCTGTGAAGGCATGGGGGTTCCTCAGCCCTCATTCTGGCCTCCTTGGCTGTGAAACAGGGAGAGCTACCTTCGCCTTTGCAGATGCCCCCAGGCTGGGCAGTGATGTGTAGGTAACACCTGGTCCTTGGCCACTTACTGAGACCCCAGCAGAGGGAAGCGAGCTCTGAACGCTCATGAGGGACGACACTCTGGGCATCGCACTTGGCCCCAGGGCTTGGGAAACCTCCTGCCCCAAACTCCCAGAGGCTGCTTCAGAAGCAACATCCCGCTTCTACTTTATCACTGGAATTTCTCTCTCTCTCTCTTTTTTTTTTTTTTTTTGTTCCCGGGATTGGACTTCCGGCCTTTGCCTTTGCCGGCAGGCACTGTGCCGCTGAGCTAAATCCCCAGCCCCTATCACTTGAATCTTGAGGTGCGGCTGGCAGTGCTGGAGAGCAGAGGTCCCCCTGGAATTGTTCATATGAAGGTACTGTAGCAGTAAGGAAGAGCGGGTCCCCAGAGCTGCTTTGGAGTGATGTCACCAAGTTCTTGCAAACCCATCCATGGGGAGGTTTCTGAGCTTGTCCCCTTTTAAGACTTTTCTTGGGTGGTTCTTGCCTGAGTCCCTAGGGGGAAGGGGGGGGCTCAGGACTCAGCCTTGTGGGGGTACAGGAGGACAGATTGTTCCCCCATGGTGTGGTCAGGCTTGGATGGAGGGCTTGGTGGCCAGCTCGGCATTCCCATCTGATCAGTGGGGCCCCCACACCCCAGTCCAGCAGCACAGTGTGAGCGACTACGGGCCAGGTAGTGACTGCCGGCCAGCTTCCTGCCCTGTCGGTCCCTCTGTGCCTGCACTGCTTGTCACAAGGAAAGAAAAAGCCCCTGCTTTAGAGAATTGACTTTCCTTGGATTTGTCTGAAGGGTAGAAACTGTGAAGGGACAGCCCTGGGTAGAGTGTGTCTCAGAGGCACCAACAAGGGACAGAATTTGAGGCTGGGGTTGGCCCGGGGACAAGCGTAAGACAATGCCCAAAGACCCCACACTCCTGTTTTTAAGGTTAGCACACGGAGAGTGTGTGGACTTATTTTTAAGGGTCAGTAGATGTAGACTGAGAATGCACTTTGGGCCCTTGACCGTGCTAAGTGTTGGGGACACAAGGGTGCCCGTCATGTGTCCTGTCCCGGCCAAGGGCTCCTAGTTCCAGCGTGGCCTGAAGCCCCACACCGGGTCCCTGACAGCTGCTGACTGGTGCATGACCTAACCAGGCCCAGCAGGTGTCTGCAGATAGAGCCATGTGTGGGGAAAAGGAGTCTTGGAAATGTCATGTGGCAGAGGTCACTATACCTGGAGGTGGCGTCCAGAGCCCAGCCACATGGAGAGCATGTGTTCTATCCAGACTTGAATTTCTGCTTCCCAGTGCAATCTGTGGGGTCAGCATTGTTACCCTGACACCAAAACCAGAGACACCGCAAGAAGAGGAAATTGCAGACCAACATTCCTCATGAATGTAGGACCAAGATGCTCAGTAAAATACCCATAAACCAATCCAGAAACATAGAGAAAGGGTTATGTGATCAGGTGGGGGTTATTCCAGGAATTCAAGGTTGGCTTAATAATTCAAAATCAAGGGCCGAGGATATAGCTCAGTGGCACAAGCACCTGCCTGGCAAGCGCAAGATCCCGAGTTCAATTCCCAGTACCAAAAAAAAAAAAAAAAAAAGAAGCAAAATCAATTAAGACTGAGTATTAATAGAATACTCATAACCCCATAATAGAGGTGCAGAAAAAGCACCTGATGAAATGCAGCACTCTTTATGATGCAAACTGCTGACTAACCAAGAGTGAAGGGAATTCTCTCAACTCCATAAATGACACTTGGAAAAATCCATAGCTAATGTCACACTTAAAGGTGAAAGACCAAATATCTTCTCCCTCATATCAGGATGAGGAAGGGATGTCCAATCACACCATTTTCATTCAACATTGTATTAGAACTTGAAGTCAATATCTTAAGAAAAAAAGGAAATAAAACACGTCCAGTTGAAAAGGCAGTAACCTGTCTTTGTTCACAGATGAGATAGTCTCACGTGGGACCCATGCTTGCAAAGACACCTCCATCAGAACTACAAAGCCCAGCAAGGTTGTATGACATGAGGCCAATACATGAAACAGAATTGTATCATAATACCTGTGACAAATGATCTAAAATGAAGTTGAGAGAGCCATTCCATTCACAGCATGATAAACCTATTAAATACATAGGACTGAAATTACATAGGAAAGTACATCCTTGAGATGAACTGAGATCAGAATAAATGAGGAGATCCTTTGTATCCATGGAGCAGAAGTTACAGTATTATCAAGATTTGCTTATTCTCAAATAGATCTACATATTCAGTGCAAACCCAGTGCAAATCCTGAAGCTTTTTGTAGAAACGAACAAGCAAATATCCAGAAAACCCAAACAGTTTTGAAAAAGAACAAAATTGGAGGGTTTAGGCACTTCCTGATTTCAAAACCTATATGAATATAAATAATCAAGATAGTGATACTTGTATAAGGATAGATGTGCCAATCAATGGCCCAGAGAGTGAAATGGTAAAGCATTGTATTTATGGCCAATTAATTTTCAACAAAAGTATCAAGGCAATTCAAAGGAGAAAAGAATTAGTAATAAGTGATACTGAAGCAATTGGATATTCACATGTAGAAAGATAAATTGAGGGGCAGGGATATAGCTCAGTGGCATAGCGCCTGCCTGGCAAGCATGAGGCATGAGTTAAAAAAAAAAAATTGAAACATTTTAAATCAGGGACAAAAATTAACTTTAAGGTGGATCATAGACTTAAATGTAAGTGCTAAGCCCATCAAATGTTTGAAATAAAATATAAAATCTTCATGATCTTAGATTAGACAAAGAGAACTTAAATGTGTCGTAAAAAGCCTGATTCACACAAGAAAATAATGGCTCAATTGGATTTCATCAAAATTGAAATGCTTTTCATTTCAAAAGACATAATTGAGTGAATTAACGGAAATGAAACTTCTCATTTATCAGACACTTTGAACAAACCCCACACGGAAAAAAATTATTTTGTAAATCATGGATCTTAAAAGGATTTCTGCCCAGGATATTAAACAAACCCTGGAAACAGCTGAATTAAAAATGGGCAAAAGATTTGAATAGAAATTTCACCAAGGAAGAAATTAAAATGGCCAAAGGCAGTTGGACAAATGCTCACTAATCACCGGGTAAATTCAAATTAAAGCCCCAATGAAATACTGCCTTGCACCTGCTTGAGTGGTTGTCTTAGTCATAAACATCAATTTTATGGCGTAAATACATATAATTTCCAATATACGAGAATAAATTCAAATTCTCCTCATTGGAGCAAAGTACCTGACACCTGTGGCTTAAGGGAGGAGAGACTCTTTCTGGCTTGTGTTTCAGTTCAGAGTTGGCTGATTCCAAGGCAGGACAGCATGGCACAGGGGCCTGGTGGAGGTGAGCTGCTTGTGGCATGGTGACAGAAGCAGAGAGAGTCGAGGAAAGAGCCGGAATCACTTTCCAAAGTTTCCGCCTGTGATCCCATGAAGCTTTCAGGGTACCTCTAGATATAAACCACAGCAGTGACTATGCCTAAAAGACAAAACAACAAAAAATATTGGAGAAGAAGTGAAGAGAGGGGAACCTTTCTGCCCCATTGGTGGGAATGTAAATTAGCACAGCTGTGATACAAAACTATGGTGGTTCCTCAAAAGACTGAAAATAGAACTTCCCTATGACCCAGTCATCCCAGTAACTGGATATACAACCAAAAGGTTGGAAGTCAGCACGTCTAAGAGACATCTGTACCTCCACTGCGGAATATTTATGATAGTCAAATTACGGAATCCATCTAGGTGTCTGTGAGTGGATGAACCAATCAATGAAGAAAATGTGGTGTGTATACACAAACGAATACTTTTTTAGGCTTAAAAATAAGGATGTCCTATCATTTGCAATAACATGGGTGAATCTGGAGCACATGATGCTGAGTGAAATAATCCAGGGACAGGAAGCCAAACCCTGCATGTTGTCACTTCTGTGTGGATTCCGCAATGACCAAACTCAAGGCAGTAGAATGGTAGTTACCAGTGGCTTTGGCGGAGGTTGGTCAAAGAGTAGAAGCTTTCTGTTAGGAAGAATAAATGGTAGGAACTGGAAGTGCTGAACACGTTAATTAGCTTGATTCCGTCACTCCGTCTTTATGTTGTAGCATCTCTTTTACGGCATAAATACATGCGGGTATAATTTCCAGTGTACAAGAATAAATTCAAACTGGGTGTGGTGGCACAGGCCTGTAACCCCAGCATTCTGGGAGGCTGGGGCAAAAAGATCATAAGTTTGAGCCCAGGCTGGGAGACTTAGCAGCTTAGCTGGACTCCGTCTAAAAATTAAAACATAAAAAAGTGCTGGGAAGACTGGGGGTATAGCTCAAAGCAAAGACCTTGAGTTCAATACCTTGTACTTGAAAAAATAAATAAATAACTTGAAAGACATACAACCTAGGAAGGAGACAGTTGTGATATAAGCTCTTGTCAATGTTTCTAAAGGATACTAACCCAATAAGAAATATTTCAGTCATTCAGAAAAAAACCCCCAATAGGTTTAAGGAAATGAACAGGCAGTATAAAGAAAAGCAATGCTTAACTGTAAGTGAATAATCAAGCAAAAGCCACAGTTTGTGTCTATAGATTGGGTTGGGTATCCATAGGTGGGTGGAGCCTGCTGGCACCAGGCGATGGTGCAGGTATAGGACAGCAGGACACAGCACCGCTGGTGGGGACACAGAGCTCTGTGACCGCCCGGAGAGCAGCCGGCAGTGGCGCAAATGGTGTGATCTGGCCACTGCTCTTGGGGACACTCCAGGCTAGGAGGAGTCTGCACACACAGCCACCCAGGGCAGAGGTGTTCTCCCCATATGGTATGCAACAGTGGAAACCTATGAACAAGTTAATGGCCCATTGGCGGGAGAACAGTGTACTTTAAAATAACTGAATATTTATTTTGAATGAGTGAATATGTTCTTTGCTTTTCTGAGTTTGAAAATCTTGCCATGAATAAAACAAGACCAAACCAAAAGTTACCTGGGGCTCCTTAAGCCGTCAACCTGGAGATAAAACACCCAGTCGCAGTTGGCCTTTGGAATCAGCAGCAGATTACCACGTGGAGATCACAAGCCTGGTTGTGTCTCCTGCTGCTAACAGGAGGCTCCGGGCTGCCTCCCCGGGGCTGCTGCAGGGCGCCCGCAGAGAAGCCAGTGCTGGGCATCCACACACAGCCCTGTGCATGTGTACACACAGACGTACTGTGTGCAAAACACACTCGTGCATGCACACACGTATGGGCATACAGCCTCACGCATGTGTGTACACACATGCACACATAAAGCCTATGAATACACATGCATACACACATGCACATCTGCCTGCAACACACTCATGGTCCTATGCATGCTCGTGTACATGCACCCTCTGCCCACTGAACACAGTAAGGTAGGAGGGACACGCTTGGAATAGAGACATTTTCAGAATGGACATCCACAGGGATTAAGCTTCCTGGTGCTAACAGGAAGAAATGTAGAGAGAGAGACTGCGACATCTCCCAACAGTCCCAGCATTCCCAACATTCCCATCTGCAGCATTCCTGGTCCCCTCAGGGCTCCTCCCTCTCTCTTGGGACCCTAGCCACCACGGGAGAGATCAGCGGGTGCAGTGGGAACCCCAGGGAGGGGAGCAATGCAGAAGCAGCACAGAACCGAAAGATAAGATAGAACGAAGCAAAAGCCCTCTTTAGTACTGATATCTTTACATCCAAAAAAACAAACAGTAGAGTATCCAGAAGGAATAAGCAGGACTGGAATATATGGTATATTCCAGTGAGAAATGCAAAGCCATATGCATGTTAATCCCCCTTTGCACTGCAGTTTCATTGACTGGGAATTTGTTTTAGGAAAATAACACCAAACCAAGAAAAATCTGCATGCTTTGTGACTAATAGGCATCACATTAGCAAGCAATTAAAACAGCAACACTAGAAGAACTACAAAGCGAATGACTGCAGTGAGTCAAAGAGGCAATTTAAAGACCACGTTAAATAAAAAAAAAAGATAAAGACCACATTGCCATTAACCAAGACACATATGATGCAGTCACAAAAAGTTGCATATGTGCTGTCTGCCCACGTGTAACATGTGTGTCTGCCCTGGGGTAAAGGCCAGAAAGGTGCCCGAGAAGCACGGGGCATGATTGTCTGCAAAGTGTTTAAAATGAGATGGTTGTCATATTCCTGGTTATTCAATCAATGGTCCTTTAAGCAACTGAACTAATCTAGGTGACTTTTTTTTCTCTTTTAGAGTAGTGTTAGTGTCCCCGCAACTGAGTGGCTGCTTCTGAAGCTGCTCAGAAGCCCCTGGTTCCCGGAGGTCCAGAGTCACATCAACAAGCTCTCTCGGGCTGGCTGCTTGTGGCGATTTCCCTCATACTGCTGGGGAGCAGCAGATGGTTTCCCATACTGTGTTATATTTATTAACATTCAGCCCAGACTTAATTGACAATACTAAACACTGGTTCTTTAAACATTCAGCTTCTTTATTTGCAATGGTAATTTCAGTAAACAGTAGCTATTCCAAAGCTCTGTAGTGTGAAATTAAATTTGTTGGTTAATTAATTGGAAGAATGTAGCAACTTCAGACCGCTTAGAGACGGTGGCATCGATGTGGCATTGAAATTAGTGATCTGTAAAATTACTCACAGTATAGCAAAGTCAAGACGAGATAAATAAACTCATCAACTTTTCGACACCAGCAAAAGCTGTTTCTTGGAACGGTACTGTTATGGAATGAACACGCTGCTCTACTCGTGAGAAGATGTTCTTGATTCACAAGTTTATTTTATTTGTCTATTTAATTTTTTATGTTAATAACCAATTCTTGCTCACTTACCGCTTTGTCCAGATTTGTCTGCCTGGACCATATTTCTCTTATTAACGTTACTTTGGACAGAGCGTGCAGTTGGAGTACTTTCCCTTAATAGCAATTCAAAGTGCAATTATTCAGACCTCCTAGCTCAGGTTAGTTACATCACCCCAGTATTTTCGATTAGCTCATTATAAACTTCCACTCACAGATTATAACATGAAAACTCCAAGATAAGAGGCGATTGGCTTCAAAAACCAATCATCACAGAATATTTGATCTCCCTTAGGGCTCCCAAAACAGTATTAATCATGGTAATGAGATGCTAATTTTTTCCCCTGTTGGTTGACAAGGATTAAAGGGATGGCTAATCCTTGACACACTCCTCCAGAGAAGTCGGAATTTTTATATATATATATATGAAAGCAATCACTTTGCATCAAATATGTATCAAAAGTCTTTGTCACTGCTTCCCTAGGTAGTCCCTATCTGGAAATATATTATTCAGGTGCAACTGTGGATACGTTTGAAAGTGTATGCATGAGGGTTTTAATCACAGAGCTATTTATGATAATGAAATATTGCAAATGATGAATTTTTTATTGAGTCTGGCCAACAATATGGAACAGATTGAATAAATTACATGGTGCTCATTTGATAGTATAATTATGCAGACACTGCAAACAGGGAGGGGGAAGAAATAGGAGAGGATGGAAAATGTTTGCCATCCACTGTCAGGTTGTGGCTAAAGATGGCATGCCGAATGAGCCCCTTTTCCTGGAAGGCACATAGCAATGAAAAGTATTAATTTGTCTCCTGAGTGTGTGGCCAGAGAGAGGCTGTAGGGCTCTGTGTCAGTTAGTTTGTATATCAAAGACCTGCTTCTACTTGGGCCCGTCCTATGTCTAAAAATTAATTAGCTCCAGGGGGCACCTGGGCCAGCAAGTGTTTTTAAGATAGCAGAACACAATGGTTATCATAAAACAGCAAACGATAATCTATGGTGGCAAAGCTGGGGATCATAAATTTGAACCCAGCCTGGGAGACTTAGCACCTTAAGTGGACTCTGTCTAAAAATTAAAACATAAAAAAGTGCTGAGGAGGATAGGGGTATACCTCAAAGCAAAGACCTTGAGTTCAGGCCAGAAGCAGCTTATATCTTATCCAGACTATCAGGATTAGGGTGGTGCTAAACCAGTCAGTGGACTGATTTAGTAATCACACACCTCTAATCCCAGCATTGTAGCATCAATCCATCGCATACTCTAGATTTCCCTACCTCTGAAAAAGCCCCATCTAAGACTGCATGTGGCTTTGGGGTAGGGGGGACAGCTAGATACAAGCCATAACACCAAGGCTCAGAATATTTTTACAAAGGGCTGAGGGTGTAGCACTTGTCTGGCATGAGTGAGGCCTTGAATTCCATCCCCATTATTGAAAAAAAAAATTCAGAAAAAATGTCAATGCCACACTAGTAAAGATGTCAGATGAATAGAGGCTCCAAATGGTCACACTTTTCCAAATACAGGAGGAGCCTCAAAAGAACAGAGTGGTGCCCGGGCTTGGCAGTGCCCTGCTTGGTCCTCCCAGCCTTTGTCCTTGGTGTTGACTAGAATTCTCCTTGGCTGAGCAGTTCCGACACATCCGGGTGACTTTTATTGGCTGCCACTTTGGCC